CAGGAATTTCAGCCACTGCCACGTGGGTTGTCTGGTTGTTTTCCTTTGTTTTCAGGATTTATTCCTCATATAGGACAGTGTTTAACTGGCACTGTCATGCATGCTTAACTAGGAGGGTCACAAGTACTGCAGAAATTCCTAAAACTACTGATTTCTTAGTAAATCCTGAGCATCTTCAATAAGATCTGCCCAGCTGTTTCTGCTCACTGCATCACTAAATTAACATCTCTTATTTACTCTTTCCATATTGTAAGGGAGGCACCAGTTTGGAACATGAAATGCTTCTTCTCTCTGTGTGTTTAGGTCAGCTTGATCTTTTATCTTAAAACTGATTGCTTGTAACTCCATGAAAATGAAGTGGATTGGTGGCTTCTCCCCATCCCACTACAGCAAATAAAACTCCCAGGAAAGCCATCTATCCAGTGATCTTGATGGACAGCATCAAGATGCAGATACCTACAGCCCTGGGCAGCAAGAAGGCTGTTCCTGTGCCCTCCTTCTGGCACAAGAGCCTCCAGAAATCACCCTGCACATGCCCCAGTCCCTCCTCAGCAAGGCCTGTGCCAACAGCAGTCTGCATCTGCACAGCTCACTCCTGCTGTCCTGGGTCTTGTTGGAAAAGGATTTAAAGGGGAAAAGAAAAATATTTACTCCATTCTACATGTTCTTGTTTCTCATACGTTTGAATAGCAATAAATGTTCTACAGAGCAGGAGGAATCCAGGGCTGGAATTACAACTGTGGCAAGGAAACCTTCATATTTTGGTGAACCCATAGCCTGTCCTTGACACTGGTCGTTGTGAAGAGCAATAGTTAATGGCTAATGGATTGCACTGGGCTGCTCCCTGGCAGGCTGTGTTGGGACCATCCCTCTTTCTCAGGGCTCAACCCTCTGGCTGAGTCAGCAGAATTTGGGAACTGAACCCTGGTACCTGGTACCCAGCGAGAGCAGCTGCTTGCTTGGGTTTGCACAACTCAGGGGTCAGGTCCTGATCTCCTCCAAATCCCTTCCTGAGGATGGAGAGAGTCACAGAAACACCACAGACACCCCAAGGAGGTCTGCTCGTGAATAATATTCAGGAGAGCTCACCTGATCTGAGAGCACTTCTGGCTGGAAACACCAAAGCACTATTTCAAAGTCCTGGCACAGGACAGTGCTGGAGACAAAGGTGGTTTTCCCAACCCAGACAGTTCCACAGTGTTTTCAGCACTGGTGGATCCAGGGAAGACTCGTACCACTTCCAACAAACCTTCCACTGCCCCGTGAAAGAACCCTGAACTGCTTTCTCTGGACAGAGACACTAAAGACACATCCATGTCTGACCCCAGAGCTTCACACCCACATCGAAACGTCTCTGCCACAAAACCCAAATTCTGGAAACATGTTACAAGTTATCATGAGTTTTATCTGTCATTATGGTATAGGCATACATTTGGAATTACTTAATGCTTGGACACTTCCCAGCTTTCTCCTGCACTCACACACCTGCACTGGGTTGCCCTTGGTGGGGGTTTCAGCAGCAGTTCCCAAGTTCATGGTCACAAACACAGCAAAATGGGCAGCTGGGAGAAAGTTAATGCCATTTGCCTGGCAATGGCTCTATCTTCTGTTTCAAAGCATATTGCGACTAAACTATTTCATTTGTTAGCATTAACCTTGCTAATGATTAGCCTCTCCTGCTCTGGTTGTGTACTAGGTGATTCTTTGACCTCCCAGTTGCACTGTACACACGCCAGCACAACCACAGAGAGCCAGAGAGCACCAGCACCCCCGGGCACAGCGTCCTGCCAGGACAGCACCATGGCCCTGAGCTTGGGGATACTGCTGTCCAGAGGCACAGAGAGCTTGGGCACTAACCTCCTGAATTCAGCTGTGATACTGATTTTGGGCTCCAAAACCTTCACAGCCCCTTTGCCGCTGCAAAATGAAAGCAAATACACAAAAGCAAGACTTGAGTTGTAGCTGACAGAAAACCAAATTAAAAAGGAGTTCAGCCCCAGCCCACAGCTGGTAACAGCCTAAACACGAGCACTGCTGCCCCAGGGACCTGGCACACACTGGGCACACATACATGCAGGTTGCTGTCTGACTGCTCTGGCCTCAGTACACATGGCATTGTCCTCTGGTTTCAAGCCTCTTCCACAGCCCCCTGCAAACCTCTGCTGTCCCAGCTCCTCTCTCCTTCCATCTCCCCCTCCACCTGCAGAGCCACGAACACAAATCTCTTGTGCAGGCACTTACTTGCACTCCCTTTCACATGAGCTTGGCAGCCTTTTCTCTTCCCTGGAGCTCTGAGGTTTAAACCTCGTGCTCTGACTAGAAAGAGCAAACCCAGCAGCGATTGTTCTTTGAAAGCAAGGAGCAACCAGAGCTCTTTTACCAACAGCCTGATGAAATTCTCCTCCAGCATCTCAAACGGCGCTTGCTCGTGGCAGAAGGACCAGCAAAGCTCCTTTGCACATTTCTTGGGGCTGGGAAGTGTGACTGCTGGAGTGCAGCACAGCACAGGCAGCAGGGCAGGGGGTTTCCAGCCATCCTGCTCAGTGGATCAGCATGGAAGTACAGCAGATCTTTACGTAAGCACCAGCTGTGCTTGCTCAGACTTGCTGTACATGGTAGTTCTCTCCATTCCAGGGAGTGGGGGAAGGTTTGAGCAGCATCTGAGATAACAGGACAAGAGCTGCAGAAGTTGTCATGTGAGCACACAGGAACCGTGGTGCCTGTGCAGACACAAATGCACATGTGTCCTCAGAGATGCAAAAATTCCTTCCTGCTCTAGCATGTACATGAAGCCCCTGATGTCACCACTTCAGCCCATGTCTTTCTGCTAGATCTTTGCTCCAAAAGAGGTCTTGGTAACCTTTCCCTGCCTGATGAAATGCTGCCAGTACCTGAAGTACCTGGTCTTTTGGGAAGGAATCAGAATAACAGATTCAAAATTCAAATTTTGCCAAGAAGGGGAAAGCTGAGCTGGGATCCTGCTTGCCCTGCAGAGCATGGGGTGGGGGCCAGCGAGGTGACCACCAGCCAGAGGAGCTGCTGTGAGCAAGGGGCAAATCTCAAGGCCCTTTTTGTGCTCTGTTGTTTGCTTTCTGCAGAATCTGGGGTGTTTGTCTTGCTGGCTACTTCTGTGATGTGTATGAAAGAGCATTTTTCATGCTCAGTGAGTTAATTATTAGCCATAGACAAGTGACCACTGAACAATTAGAAATTGCAATACAAGGAAGAAAGCCCAACAGAGCACCTTTCATCTTCACACGGAAATAAACTCATTTTCCTTCTACCGGGAATTACCCTTCATAAAATTGTGTCACTTGACACCCTGAAATCAAATTCCTCTAAGTGTTGTAAAGACTTTCTTGGCACCTGCCATCTCCTCGAGATCTTGGAATGGGCTGGTAGATCAACAGCCACGCTCAGGAAGTGCACATTCCCACCATGACACCCTGCAGTGTCCAACCTGGCTCAGCCCAGGCCAAAGAAAACAGCTCAGGGAGTCAAGAGCCTCAGCTCCCCCCCAGGATGTCACTTGGTCCAACAGGAGGGGAAGGTCTGAAATATTAATCCTGAAAACTGTGGGCACATTAAAAGACCTGCAGTTTGGTCTGGCTTTCCTCAATAGCCACCATTGAGTCCTGGCCAAGGGTGGTGTTGGTGCAGGTTGGGGTGGATGTCCAGGTGGGACAGGGTTGAAGTCTGATGATTCAGGGGTGAGGGGCAAAGCATCTCGTGCCTACCTGCAGCTGGCCAAGGAAAAGAGAGAAGCAGAAGTGAAAATATTACCTTTTTTCTCATCTGTGTGTCCCTAGCTCAAGTAGCCACAATCTTCCAGGCATGAGGATTATTAGATTACTCAAAAAGTTAACGTAGCCATTTTGCAAGTGTGAATATTCACCAATTTCTGTGCCTTTTCCAGCGAATGCAAGAAAAATGACTTTACTAGCGTTGGTCTTCCTGCTTGCCTTCTTCCCAGCTCAACCTGCAAGCAGCAGATACCTCCCCAAGGCAGCAAGTAAGTGTCACCTGTCTGGGCACAGGTTCTACAGGTGGCCTGAGACTGGAGGTGCCATTGCTGAGGGGGGAGCAGGGTTCAGGGAATGTCACCACCCCATTAGTGCCCTGGGACCTTGCACACCCCACTGCTGTTGCACAGCCCCCACCCAGCCCCTCTGCAGCCCCACGGGTGCTTCAGCACAGCTGACATTTACAGCCAACACCTTTTTCCTCTTGCAGTCTCAAGCCCTGTGTTTGGACCACGGCAGGTTTATGGTCTGCTCGGCGGGTCAGCTATTGTGAAATGCTTCTACCCTCCCACCAGTGTGAACAGACACGACAGGAAGTATTGGTGCAGGCAATCAGCCACGGGCTGCAGGACCATTGTCTCCACCAGTGGCTACGTTGCTCCAGGCTACCAAGACAGGATCTCCATCCTTGACCACCCAGATGCAGAAAGCTTCCAGATCAACATCACCCAGCTCACAGCTGCAGACACAGGCACCTACCAGTGTGGTGTGGGGATCAATGGCAGAGGCCTCTCCCACAAAGTCAATCTGGAAGTTTCTGAAGGTAATGGGAAGGTCTGAAATATTAATCCTGAAAACTGTGGGCACATTAAAAGACCTGCAGTTTGGTCTGGCTTTCCTCAATAGCCACCATTGAGTCCTGGCCAAGGGTGGTGTTGGTGCAGGTTGGGGTGGATGTCCAGGTGGGACAGGGTTGAAGTCTGATGATTCAGGGGTGAGGGGCAAAGCATCTCGTGCCTACCTGCAGCTGGCCAAGGAAAAGAGAGAAGCAGAAGTGAAAATATTACCCTTTTTCTCATCTGTGTGTCCCTAGCTCAAGTAGCCACAATCTTCCAGGCATGAGGATTATTAGATTACTCAAAAAGTTAACGTAGCCATTTTGCAAGTGTGAATATTCACCAATTTCTGTGCCTTTTCCAGCGAATGCAAGAAAAATGACTTTACTAGCGTTGGTCTTCCTGCTTGCCTTCTTCCCAGCTCAACCTGCAAGCAGCAGATACCTCCCCAAGGCAGCAAGTAAGTGTCACCTGTCTGGGCACAGGTTCTACAGGTGGCCTGAGACTGGAGGTGCCATTGCTGAGGGGGGAGCAGGGTTCAGGGAATGTCACCACCCCATTAGTGCCCTGGGACCTTGCACACCCCACTGCTGTTGCACAGCCCCCACCCAGCCCCTCTGCAGCCCCACGGGTGCTTCAGCACAGCTGACATTTACAGCCAACACCTTTTTCCTCTTGCAGTCTCAAGCCCTGTGTTTGGACCACGGCAGGTTTATGGTCTGCTCGGCGGGTCAGCTATTGTGAAATGCTTCTACCCTCCCACCAGTGTGAACAGACACGACAGGAAGTATTGGTGCAGGCAATCAGCCACGGGCTGCAGGACCATTGTCTCCACCAGTGGCTACGTTGCTCCAGGCTACCAAGACAGGATCTCCATCCTTGACCACCCAGATGCAGAAAGCTTCCAGATCAACATCACCCAGCTCACAGCTGCAGACACAGGCACCTACCAGTGTGGTGTGGGGATCAATGGCAGAGGCCTCTCCCACAAAGTCAATCTGGAAGTTTCTGAAGGTAATTACAGTCTTGGAGCTCCTTCAAGCTTGGAGCTCCTTTACTTTCACTTCCCCCCCTCACTTTTTAATAAGGCTCCTCAGACAGTCTGCCCAGTGTCTTAGAGCTCCACAAGCTCCCTGCTTTCATTGCGCCTGTGCTCTTACAGAATGAATTTTATAGACCACAAATATGGCACAAGAATCAGATTAAACAGCCTCATCTTAAGGTCACAAACACTGCTTAGACACTGCTGACCACTCGTGGGCAGGGACCTGGGTGGATCATGCTGAGCAGGAGCTGCAGGTGATATGATATAGCAAAGTGCAGAGAAATATTCTGCTAGAAGGAAAAAAGCCTGGCACTGACCCGTGTCTCCATGCACAGGTCCACACCTGCCTGAGGGAGCTGAGCTCTACTATGTGAAGCTGCACAGCACCCTGACCGTGTCCTGCAGCTTTGGGAAGGATGCTGAGCTCCAAAGGAAGTACCTGTGCAAGATGGGGAAAAAAGGCTGCTATGACATCGTTGATAATGGAAAGGAAGTTGACAAGGATTTCGAAGGGCGGGTCCTGCTGAGCCTTCAGGAGGATCCAGGCTCGTTCAGCGTTGTGATCACTCAGATGGGCTGGGAAGACTCAGGCTTGTACCTGTGTGGGTTCGGCACCTACGGGGTGAGCGGAGAGACCAAGGAACTGGACGTGCATGTCTATGAGGGTGAGTGAGCTGTTCCCAGTGGGTTTTTCCTTCACCTTTGTTTCTCTTCAGAAGCATCATGAGCAGTTTCACCTTACTCAAGAACTTCACTTTCCCACTGCAGAGTGCCACTGTCCTGTCCTCCCATCTAGATACTTGTGTCATGTCAGAACAGCTGCTGATAAACTTGTATCAAGATTTCAGTTTCCCAGCAGAGCCTGGCTGCCTTCCCAAGTCTGACTAGGCAAAACTCCAGAAGGCAAATTGTACTTCCCAGTTTGATACAAGCAAACTGTCTCTTCAAGTCTCAGTTCATTAAATCTCAGCACGACAGATGTAGAAGGAAGAGGACCTGCCCTTCCCTTAGCAGAGGGAAAAAAAACCTTGAGATGCCAGTACACAAAGACAAAAGCCATCCAGGGAATTCAGGAAAAATAAGGGCCTGAGAGATGCTTTGGGGTCAATTTCTAGCAGAGCCAGGACAGCCTCCTACCCTCTGCAGCTCTGAGCTTCACTCAGCCCTGCTTTAGCCAAAGCAGATTGGTTAGATGGGGTAACATTTACTCTCCTGGGGAGTGCCACATGGGCAAGTCAGACATGTACAGCTACTCATTTCATTTTCATCTCCAGAGACAAGTGTTCCTCAAGGAAAGCCCACAGTACTTGGAGTAAAAGGAAGTTCAGCAACTTTTGAATGCCATTATAACCCTCTCAAGAGGTCCTCCACCAAATACTGGTGCAGGTGGAAACCAAACAGGTGTGAATGGATCATAAGTGACGACGGGTACGTGGCACCTTTTTACGAAGGAAGAGTGGCCATGTATGACAGCCCAGACAACAGCTCATTCACCATCATCCTGAACCAGCTGGAGAGCAAGGACGAAGGCTACTACTGGTGCATGACAGATGATGTGAAGGAGCAGCAATCATCAACTCAGCTGAAGATCATAGATGGTAAGAGCAGTTCTCTGCCTGCTCAGTAGGTACCAAACAACCTCCTAAGCTCCCCAAAGGAGTCAAAGTGGCTTTTTGGGAAGAGATGGGAGGTTCAGCTCTGAACTTCTATTGCACAAGGCAAAACATGGTGCCAATCCCCACACCCAGTATCTTTAAAATAGAAACACAAGGATTTTGTTTTATGGGAAAGTGTTCACAAAAGTTTCTCATGCAAGTGTTTCATAAGCCTTGCAAGAAACCCCAGCTTTCACCCCGAGATGTGTGTGCAGCCACCTTACCATTAATTTAGCAATGTCAGGGGCACTTTCCCTGAAAGGCACATCTCCTGGTTCACCAACCCTAGAAGCACCACTACCTGTTGACTACCATTCTCACCACTGAAACCACTAACATCAGCCTTGATGTTCTTCTTGCCTCTGCAGGAGAACCTGGACTGACAGGAGAGAAGGAAGTGGAGGCACGAGTGGGTTCCCGGGTCGATCTGGCTTGTCACTATCCATGCAAGTACTACTCCTATGAGAAGTACTGGTGCAAGTGGGACAGCCCCAGCTGCACACCCATGCCTGCTTCAGACCAGAGGCAGCCAGGGCCCGGTGTTACCTGTGACACTGACAACAGGACAGTCATCCTGAGCTTTGATGCGGTGGCAGAGTCAGACCAGGGCTGGTACTGGTGTGGAGTGAAGCACAACGGGCACTACGGGGAGACCATGGCAGTGCAGCTGCAGGTGACAGGAGGTGAGCTCCAAGACACAGGCAGGGGCTTTCCTGCCTGGCAGGGCTGTGACCCGTCCTGAAGTGTCTTCTCCACAGCCACTAGGTTGCAGCACCTCAAAACAGAAGAGCTCTCACCCAGGCTAGGGGTCAACATCACCCTGGTTTTGCAGAACTTGGTCGTAGATGTTTTCATCCTCTCTTTGGTTTTTCTTTCCTGGTCATAGAAAACCCACTAGGCTAAGAATCACTTCCCCCCACATCATTGTTATTTTTCTAACCCTGTCCTGACCAATTATTTCTACTACAATTTCAAGCATCATCTAGTCCAAGCAACATCTCACACCTGCCAGGTAAAGGGCTGCATGGAGTTCAGAGACACCTCGCTCCAAAAAGCTGCTTAGCCTAATAAACAGAAGAGCAGTAGGGAGCAGGGATGGAGGGGATATCACCAACAGCAAGGGGCTTAGTCCCAGCTTTGGTGTCATATTTTGGAATAAGATGTTTTTTCTCAGGGAGCAACATTGTTAGAAGCAGAGGAAAAGGTACTAGATGTCCCACATGCAACCATCCAAAGTGGACGAGGGTCAAAGTGAAAACAAAGAGAAACAGCCTCATTTCACTGCCTTTGGTGGGCAAAGAGCTAGAAATAGAGGCAAGCCAAGTATTCCAAGTTTGTTCTGATGACACTAGAGCCAGAACTACAAGACTTTTGCAAAAGTATTTAAGCAGAGACACACTCTTCCTAATGTCTGACCTAAATCTCCCCTCTTCCAGTTTTAATCCATCCCCCCTTGTCCTCTCCCTCCCTGCCCTTGTCCAAAGCTCATTCCCAGCTTTCCTGGAGCCTCTTTAGGCACTGGAAGGTGCTCTAAGGTCTCCCTGGAGCCTTCTCTTTTCCAGACTGAACACCCCCAACTCTCCCAGCTTGCCCTCATAGGAGAGCTGCTCCAGCCCTCAGATCATCTTCGTGGCCCTTCTCTGGACTCTCTCCACGAGCTCCAGCTCTGTGCTGCTGCTCACGTGCCCTAATGATGCTCTTTCCTGGGACATACAGGAAGCGATGCCGATCACAGCCTGGACCTCCTGGATGTGGACAAACCCAGCCAGGCTGAGCCCCCCAGCCACGCTGAGCCTGGTGTTATTCCCAAAGGAAGAGCCTTCAGTGATGTTGGGGAGCAAAGCGCAGCTTCCTCGGAAAGGTCAGTTCCCCCCCAGTCTCTCATTTATCAGTTTGGGGAGGTTTAGGTTAACCCAACACTGGTGCTGGCTTTGGACTCTGCCTGTGTGAGTCAACAACAACAACAACAACTTCTTTTTCCCAAAGAACTTAGCTCAAAACATCAGAAGAAAAGGAGTAACAAAACAAAATGGCAGTAAAAGTCAAGATGTCTTGAAATTAATGTCTAGATTAAGAAAGTTCCAAAATAGAGATTTCAGGTACAGAAAGACAAATGGAAAGTACTTCTGTCGAGATTACAGAACTTTCCTTCACACAATTATAATGAAGTTGCTGATGTAACCAGTTGGCCACAACCTGTGTCCTACATCTTATTTGTTTCATCTTTTACTGTGTGTGCTGAGATCCAGTTTGTTCATTGAGCTGCATCACAGTTGCTCAGCATTACCCTCCTGTCCAGCTTTGAGGCTGGACACACATTGTTTCAATAATATTTTTTTTCAAAAATATATCTCCCAGCTGAATGCTACATCCTTCCTCCCATTCCAGCTCTGGTGAAAGCCGTGGTCCCAACACAATTGCCTTGGTTGTGGGCCCAGTTGGTGCTGTGCTCCTGGTCCTGGCCACAGCCTTCGCTGTGTTTAAGTACAGGCAGCTGAAGAGATCTGGTGAGTCCTTCCCCAGTCCCTCAAGAAACATCAGCAACCTTAAGATGGTTTGGATGCCAACTCTGAGCAAGCATGTGGGGTCTTGTCTCCTCCCTCTTAACAGACCTGGTGTCTGTCGGGAGCTACAGGACAAACATCAGCATGTCAGACTTTGAGAGCGTGAAGGAGTACGGAGCCAGCAACAGCGCCTGCGTGAAGGAGAGCCAGGAGACCCAGCTGGGAGGGGATGGTAGGCTGCTGAGGGTCACCCTCCACCCCTAGGGCAAGGAGGGACAGGGTGGCTTTTGTGGAATGACCTTACAAAAGCCACTGCCAGCCCACTAAGGGATCCCTGCCCTAACTCCCCCCTTCTCCCTGCAGAGCTCATCACCACCGGGGCCACCCCAGAGAACACTGCTGAGACAAAGAAGGCAAAAAGGGTAAGAGAAAGCAGGAGAGAGTCCACTGACCTGAGAGGCCCCACCACAGTCCTCCAGCTTTTCCCAAGGAGCTGACCTCTCCCAAGGGCCTTATTTATACCAGGTGCCTCCATCTTAACTGGATCTGGCCACCTGAAGCACATTAGCCTCCTTGAGGAGGCCTTAACCCTCTCCTGATCCCAAGTTATAGCAGAGACAATAACAGCAGTGGTCTTGGTTCAACCGTTAGAGCAAAGCAGCCCCAAGCAACCTTAGGAAGGTTGTGGTTGGGCCATTACCACAGCTGGGAAGCCCTGGAATAAGGGGATGGCCAGAGCACACCCCACCTCCCAGCCTCCCCCAGTGTGGGCAGTGGGTCAGGGGTGAGATGTAGGTCTTTTAAGTTCCACAAGCTGAACTGGAAAAATAAAGAGAACCCTCAGGAAACCAGGAAAACCCAGCAGCTCTGGGACAGGTGAGCTGGGTGTCAGCACGTGGGGACAGACAGGCTGTGGAGTCCCAAACCCACACACACATGGGGTCTTCCCAAGAACAAGCAAAGGCATGATGCTCACGGGCATGACCCACCAGATTGTCCCACTTGTCCAGTTCACCTGTATCACCCTGAGAAGGTCACAGCCCACAAAACCCTGCCTTTTCCCCTGCCATGGGCAGCTGTCCATCTCCAGCCACCTAACAGTGTCCTCCCCTCTGTCCCCAGAGCTCCAAGGAGGACGTTGACCTCGCCTACTCCGCCTTCCTCCTCACCTCTGGCAACATCGTGCAGGACACCCCTGGGGGGGACAACAGGGACAGTGCTACTCCAGACGTGCCCCCTCCAGGCTGGACGGGACAGATCTGAAGGTGAGGGACCAAGAGGTGACAGCAACCGGGACCAGCTCTGCCTGAAGGATGAGGGCAGGACATCAGGAAGCAGCGCTGCTTTTCGCTACCACTATTCGCTATCGCTTCACCTTTTTCTGCTTAAATTCAGCTTCCAGCAGTGATTTTGGAGGAAGATTTCAAGGCCAAACAGGGTGGCTGGGCTGCAGGCAGGGGTCTGAGTGAGCAGGTTGGGCTGGGATGTGGCAGGAGCTCAGGTGGTTCTGCCCCAGCCCTGCTAGTGCCATGGAAGGAACATTTTAGAAAATCTCATTTTCTTTTCAAAGCAGCTGGAAAACCTTCTAGAGCAGCAACTCAGGCATATGATTCCTCCAAGCTTTCTCACCCAGAGAGCAGTACCTGCAGACCAAACATGGTCTGATGTGTTTTTATGCACAAGCAATAAAGAATTACCACTGGCTTCAGCAGAACAGGGGGGACTTTCAGTTTGGGTGAGGGCACAGGGAGAGGCATCCAAAGAGGTGCAGCAGGGCTGGATTTTGGGGGGGGGACACACGACACTTTGTTTTCCTCTGACTGCAGCATTACAGCAGCACATCTGGTGCTGGAAATGGCACAGGACAATAGAAGAAACCCACAATTAAGAAAGATAAACAGGAAATGCTTTGAGTAATGTTTCTGTTATGCACCGTCCTCCCCAGCAGGAACTGATCACAGCACGACATTAATTAGTATGACAACCTGTTAGCAGCCTCTGTACCTGATTAGGCAAGAGGCACCAGTGTTCACTGTATTTGCATAGCACAGACCAAATTCCCCAGCAGCTGAACCAACCATCTCCCATTTCTGACAATGCCAGCCCATGCTCCTCTGCCCCAGAGCCACCCCAGGGAGTGTGGGTGAGACAAGATGCTCAAGGGGCAGCCTTGCAGACCCACCCTTTGCTCAATAAACCTGAGCCACACGTCACTCACCCACTCTCCCTGGCTGACTTGATGTTCATCCAGGCAGAAAGGAGCGTGACTGTAATCGAACGTTGTCTCTTGGTCTTATTTTTGAGAGCAGATGACTAAACAGAGCAAGGCAAGTCATTGATGCCTGGATTGCCCCCAGCAGCAGGACACTGTGGTGCAGAGCTGAGCACCCCACAGGTACAGCAATGTGGGAAGCAGCAATGATGGTGAAGCTGAAACAAAGCAGAGAAACTGTTTTCCCCTCAACACCAGGAATTATTCCTGAATCCTGCACCTCCCCACAATGAGGGTTGCAATGAGCCTGGCTCCCTGGGAGCAGGAGGGCAGCAGCTCCCAGAGGACTTGTTTTTTCAGGGCTGCTCTCACACCCGTGGCACCTCAGTGACACCTGGGATGGCAGGTCACAGCTCCCCGCAGCTGTGGGAAGGGGCTTGGCTGTCGGAAAAGGTGCGGGGGGGCCAGGACAGGTCTGTGCCTGCCCTGGGAGTGAAGGGATTCCTCTGCTGCAAGAGGAAAGGTGTGTGCTTGGAAAGCGTCCCCAGGAGTGGGCAGTCAGAAAGCTGCAGGAAGATGCTCAAGTTGGGAAATTTCGGAGGAGAGGAAACCCCGTTTTCTTTCCCTTTGCAAATCCTCTTCCTCTTCACCCCACTCGGCTCCTCCCGCACCGGGAACGCGCTGAGCGGCCGGGAGAGGCGCCGGGGCTGGGACACATGGGGGGCTGAGCACCCCCAGGCAGCTCTGCCTGCCCTGCTCAGTGCCAGCTCCAGCCTGCCCCAGCCCTGCTCCTGCCCACCCCCAGCACTGCCATCTGGCACCTGGTTTCTCAAGAAGAGCATCCCTGGGCTGCTGCCGGGCTCTGGGTGGAAAAGAGTCATCTTAGTTTGACGTGAAAGGAGTGAAACACACATGGATTGAGTCAGGCCACCCTCCACACAAGACACAAAAATCAATTGAACATGATTAATAATAATGATGGTGACAGAAAAACTTGAGGATGTGGAATAAACCCCACACTGTGATCCAGAACCCACCGCAACCAATGGGAAGGTCCACAGAGACCTCACCAAGCAGCCCCAACTCCTTCACCAGAACCTTCTCCAAACCCACTGTTTTCTTTCCTTTGGGCAGTGAGGAGCTGCAACATCTCCCAGCATCACTGCTCTATCCCTGATGGCTTCTCTTTAACAGCAGATCATGGTACCTGTGAGACACCCATCGCTTCTAAATGGTTGGTTTCAAGGGTGATGGTGTTCAAAGACTGGTTTTCACTCACAGGGTGTGGGGGGATGTTGATCCACCCTGCACTCTTAACTCAGGGGCATCAGCATCACCAGGAATGACAGTATCTGCTATGAAAGGGCACTGGGGTGAATTCAGAAGGTTTTGCCAACAAGAAAAATACAATTCCTCAGAATTTTGATGAACAGACTCACTACAGTTTCAGGTGGGGTTTATTACAGTAATTGCAACAGATTTCCACAAAACTTACTACTGAGTGTCAGTAAATAGAAGAACGTTTTAATACTCAGCAACCACATATCTTGCATAGAAAGGTGGTTATTTTCACTGATAAGGCAGAAAATACCATGTCAAAAGGAAATGTGGATTTCTGGGGCCTGACATACCTGCTAGGACCTCTTCTAGGCAGCATTTCCCACACTGTGCACCTCATTTCAGCCAGACCAAACAGCAGTGATATGAGGCTGAGCCCAGGTATAGAAGCTCTTCCCTGCAGCATTACCTACCCCAGGGTCACTCCAGTGGTCACTCAGCAATCATTAATATACATTCCTTATATAAAAATCTTATAATTTAAACAATACTTTCTGGAACAATCACAGCTTATGTCTGCTAGCAAGACAGACCCTCGGAGAGCATCCTTTGGTAGAAGTCAGCTAAGTGAGCATTGTGCTGATCCCATCAAACTTGGTGTTTCCCTCTTAATGCAAGACTGTGGATGTGGCCAGTGTCCCTGAATGGCAAAACACTCGGTGTGTGGCTGAGCAAGGCTGCAACCAGTGGGAAACTGCACCCCTGCCATGCAGGGTTCTCCCCTGTGTGCAGTGTCCCAGGGTTCATCAATGCCTCCTGCTCCCTAAGGAGATTTCTCCATCCAGTCCAGCAGGATGTCCAGCTCACCCAGGGATTTTATTGCTGCAGCTGTGACATTCAGCTGAAATGATACAAAGGAACAAGGTGTAAGCAAAGCCAGTGAGCACCACCCAATGTAGAGAGAATCTGAAGAGCCATGTTAATTCCTAGACCCAGTCATCAACTCACCCCTTTGTAATTTGCAATGATTTGGTTAAATTTCTCAGTGGATTCCTGTCCACACATGCACTGGTTTTGCTCTCGCTGGGAAAACAAGATGTGATTCATTTGTTTAGGGGGTTAATTTTTAAAAATAAGAGAACAGTTTCTAACTATGCTGGCAATTGCTGTATAGACCAAGACTTTGTGGCTGCAGGTCCTTAAATCAGAGTTCAGGTAAGAACAGAGTTTACTTTGATAGACTGAGGGACAGGATCAATAGTGAGAACTAACGTGGGGCTGATGAGCCAACAAGCACAGGGAGCTCTCAGCAGACACACACACCCTTCACATCATGCTTCACTGTATGCCTATTAAAACCCTTTTTTGTCCAAAAAAAGGTTTCATAACTTTAGAAAGTACTTAGGTTTACTTGTCTGCTAAACATTAACAGATAACATTGCAGTGCAGCAACACCCAGGACTTACACACTGCTCAAGTTTCCTCCTCAGGCTGAGGAAGGAGTTGGCGATGCTGCTGATTTTCCGGTTCACATACGGCTCCTCGGTCTTGCAGTGCCTGAAAACCTTGTCCACGTAGAAGTTCAAGAGGTGATGGGTGATGCAGCATCTGTCTGAAGACTGAAGGAATAAATTTCATCTCTAAAAGGTCTCCCAAGGTGCTATAAACCCCGGTGTTGCCAACCTTTCTGCCCCCTCTGGAATAAACCGCCTCTAGCACCAAGCACGGTAGCAAAGCACAACGGGATGTTTTGACTCAGCTAAAGCTTTTTCAGTGATGCTTGATGTAAACTGCTAATATATGTAGGAAATCCTTTTAGGCTGATTTGCCAGAAGGCTGATCCTCAGCAAGTCTCAAAGACTGAACAATGAGCTGGGTGTTAGAGGGCGAGACCTGAAGCAGTGACCCACGTCTAGTGTTTAGAGTGTGAGAGACCTTATTTTTAGTAGGCTTCAAAACAGTTATTTCATAATACATTTCACCCCTCAGGATCACATTTAATCTGCTCCCCCCACCTCTGTCAGTGAGATGAATCAGGATTTGGGTGAAAGCCACAGCTGAAGCTCCTGGAACTGGAGCACCACATGCCCCACCACAGTCTCTGTTCTCTGCCCACCGGTTCTGGAAAGTCAGTCAGGGCGAAAGCCCTGAGGGCTGTGGAACTGGCACAGGACACCCACCTCTTCTCACATACTGATCCACATCACTGTATCCTCCCTGACATGCTCAGCCTCTGTGTCTTGCAGCAACTTAGAAGAAGAGAAGGTGTTGAGTAACTTCCCCCTCCCACCCTGAGCTGGCACATCTCATGAGCGGGGCTGAGGTGCGGGCTGCCCAAAAGCCTTGGGCGAAAAGCTGGAGGGTGCCTACCTGGACCTTGTGCAGGGAGTGTGGGTGAGACAAGATGCTCAAGGTCCTGATGGGATCTCTGGCTTGCTGCACGGGAGAAGAGAGAGATCATAGAGTCATAGAATGGTCAGGGTTGGAAGACACCTCTGGAGATCACCAAGTCCAACCCCCTTGCCAGAGCAGGACCACCTGGGGCAGGTCACTCAGAAATGGATCCAGACAGGTCTTGAAAATCTCCAGAGGAGACTCCACAACCTCTCTGGGCAGCCTGTTCCAGTGCTCTGTCACCCTCACAGGAAAGAAGTTTTTCCTCACATTGAGGTGGAACTTCCTGTACTCTACTTTGCATCCATTGCCCCTTGTCCTGTCACAGGGCACAAGTGACAAGAGATTGGCTCTTCCTTGCCCCCCAGCCTTCAGATATCTGCATATATTAATAAGATCCCCTCTCAGTCTTCTCTAGACTAAACAGCACCCAGATGGTGGTGAACATCCTGGCTCCAGAGGTGCTTTTGGAGCAGCTGGGTAAAGAACTTCCCAGCTCCCTGAATCCTGGAGCAATACTTACAATATTGGCTTTGATTGCAGTGAAACCAGACCTGATCTCAGTCATGGTCATTGGAACCCTGCAAGGTCCAAAGTGGAAGATTTTTATCCCAGTTGTTGGCATCCAATTCAACCAGCAGGACATGGAAAGGAGGCAGAGGAACATGTGGGATCCCTTCATGCTGCAGCAGGATGAGAACACAGCCAGCTGCTTGGGAGACCTGTCCAAGGAAGACAATATTGCCTCATTGTCTTTCTTAAATACCACAGACGTGATGCTTAGGAAAATATATGTGTATCTTATATAGCACCTGTACATGTAACATGCATTAAAAAGCCTGCACTGACTAGTATTTCTTACTCAATATTTTTTTACTCTCCATGAGCTAGAGAAAAAATAACCATAAAATAAACCCAACTATTAAACAGAAGATCCCAAAAGAAGCTGAGAAGAAGAAGAAATAAAACACCAGGAAAAGATTGTATTTGAACTGACAAAGCTCTTCTGCAAAATTTTCATGAGATAAAATGAATTTTTTTAAGTCTTCTGACTCAGAAGCAGCAGATCCCAAAGTCTGATCACAAAAGAAAATGTTTTCCCTCAGAACCAGCATATTTCCAATGCAAGTTCTGTTTGCCCTGAAAATCAAGGGTATTCATGGAAAAAAAATACAACCTTACAGAGAGACATCATAGGAATACAAGGAAATATGCATTAGTACATAGAGCAAAAGGATAAAAATCAGTATTTTACCTTGTTCTTTGATGTGGGTTCACCCGTCTCACCAAAGTCTGACCTGAAGAGCTCTGAAGAACATGGTTTTTATCCAGGTACTGGGAGGAAATAACTGTTGGATTAACTTTGGGAATTTTTCTTGCTTTTCCCAGGATGTATTTCCTTTGTAATTTACCAAATGAATGAGTTAGTGACAGGGACAAACTCTTTTCCCCACAGCTCTTTCCCCAGCCTACAGAGCTGGGAAATCCTGACGTTGCCTTGGCAGCACTTTGCATGCGGGAGGACGTAACCAAAAGGAGGGACCATCATGGGGGTGACATCCCCAAAATGCCAAGCCTGGAGGCTCATTCCGGCATCGTGCCACGTTCCCTTTCCCAGCTCCTCCAGAGGTGTTGGGACACGGGAAGCTGAGCAGCAACACCCCATCAGGATGCCAGAGGTCCAAACCCCCCCAGGTGAGAAGGGGGTTTCTGGCAGCAGGACACGGTGTGGTGTTGAAATAGTTTGACTCAGAACATTGCCAAGGTGTTTCTCCATCACTGTTGTGGGTACGGAAGCCCCTGCCCTCAGGCTTGTCCCTCAGTGGGTGGACATTTATCTCCATCTGCTCATCCCTGGGATTAGGAGGCTGTAGATGCTCAGGTACAAGAGGGCAGGGCTTGGGGTGAAACAGCTCCCACCACAGTGCCAGAAGTCACTCAGTTCTCAGGAGGATGGGTGACTGAGGTGATCATTGTCTGTTATCATTGTCACAGTCCAACACTGTCACCCTGCAGAAGGACAGAAATTTCACTCAAACCTATAGAAGTCCAGCAGGAGAGGGAGGTTTTACCCACCAGAAAAGATTTTGACTGCAAAGCCTGTGAACACCCTGCTGTGCATATCAAGAACCAAGGTCCTTGAGAAGACCAAGCACCTCGTCATAACAACGTTTCAGACCCAGACTGTCCCCAGGGAATCAGGGCTTGCCAGCTGGGACATGCTGGCACACAAACAGGGCAGTACTGGTGCAGAACCCAGGCTGGTTCTCCATGCTGTCAGCTCCCAGGCTGGTTAGGTTATCTCTGTAACCCCTCTAGAGACAGGTAAGCCCAGCCCACAAACAAAAATGAGCAGGGAAAAAAACCTTCTTGGACTACCAGTACCCAGGAGAGAAGGTTGGACGGACTTAGAGGACATGAAGGTGCCAAAGACACCCCTCTAATGCCTCTGGAGCAGCCTCATGCTCTGGGTGAGAGCTGCAGCCTGTTGCAATGCAGGTTTAGCTGTGTGCCACTGCCTGTCACCAGGGCTGCTCTATAAAGCCTTGCAGGGTGAGTAACAAATTGCTAACCAAGCTCAAGCATACATCCATCATCGGGGAAGACTAGGCCAATAGATTTTATGCCCAGGCTAGTCAGAGTGTTGCACACAGCATTGCTGAAACTACCCGAGATGCACCAAACCTGCCTCCCTCAGCCTGTGCCTTGGTGCTGTACAGCAGCCAAAAGGCAGGTCCAAATCTGCAGCTGCCCTCACTGAGGTGTTGGAGGGATCCTCAGCAGCACAAGGCTGTTCCCCCAGTTCCCAGTCACTGCCTGCAATTGCAGCAGCAGTTTTGCTTGGAGCAGAGGAAGTGATCCCTGGCAACACACCCAGGCCTGGTGAGGGATCGGGGTGGGGGGGGAAGGCAACAGGTTCTTACTTAATTATGCAAATTGTAGAAAAGAAGGGATTTCTTTTTCTTTTCCTTTTTTTTTTGCCACTCCAGGCAGGTCAGGCAAACGCCAACAGGCAAGAAACAGTCATAGGAGCAAAGTCATCACCCAGGTCGGCAGAGGAAAAGTGCTGGTGAGAGGGAACACCAGGGGAATGTTGTGTTACTGGGAGCTCAGAGCCAAGCCCTGTGCTTACCCAGAGATACTGCAGCCTGCTCAGTGGCCCCCACTGCTCACCCAGCTCCACATTTCTTTACTTCAAATACCCAAAAGGTTTTGTTTTCCCCTAAAACAAACCCCCAAAGTCCTTAAGAAATGGTTCAAGCTGTTCCTTTCTGCAGGAGCTGCACTGTCAGGGACTGACCACAGGCACATGCTAACACCAGGTTTCCTGTAAAGTGTTTCAGACTGATAAGGCACCAGTTTCAATAGTGCATCTCAATGCAGTTTCATGCTGTAAGGAGATCTGATAGTACTTTACAGGCCATCCTTGGTTTGACATTCTTTGTCATCACATTTCACAGCAGTTTTAGGCACACCAGCATTTCAGGCTGATGATGGTTAGTACACAGGTCCCCAGAACTAGACACAGTCAGTGACAGATGTGGCTCCAGTCATTTTAATAAAAGAAAAATCAAGATTCAGTAATAAAGATCCAGCAACAAAATCTAACCACAGGAACTCTTTCTGACATCCTTCAGGAAGAGATCCACATAAAAGCAACTATGCCACCTGGAGCAAGAGTGCTTGTAGGACTTTACATCTCTCCTGGTAATACTGTAGTGCACAAAAACCCTTGCCAAAGGCACAGAATTCTGTTTCCACAGGCAGAAATACAGTGTGTCCACTTGGTTTTATGAACTGTAGCCAATGGCTATACACTCTGTCAGTTGTCAGAACACCCTGCTCTCATCCCAGCCAGGACTGCAGCTCTGAGCAGTTCTCAGTGCCTTCAAAATCACCTGGCCCTCCAATCCAGAGCCCATTTCAAACCTCATTTGAAGCAGTGCTCATCCAGCAGGGTCCCCTTGAAACCAAGAGATCCAGACCAGCACCCCAAGGGCTGTCACCCCCCACATCACCTCTTCCATGAGCTTCTGCCCCAACGGACACACTTTGCTCTGCGATGGAAACCGGCCCCATGACTGCACATGCCCTCTCCCAACCTCCAAAACCTGGCTGCCCCTCTCCCTCTTAATTAGTGCAGTTAATTATGGCCAGCAGGCAGGGGCTGCCCCTGGGCTCCCCACCCGACCCCTTGCCTGGCCCAGCTCGGCGCTGCTGCTGACAAAAGTAAAAAACTGTTTTTCTCGGTAAACTCCTCAAATGACTCAGAAATCCCCCTGCAAGGAGTTATCTGTCTGCTGCTAGGTGTGGTACATCTTGGGCCTCCTTCTCAGTCACGTTTCTAACCATAACCACTTGAATAATTCTGAAAATCCAGCCCTCAGTGCTGCCTTGTGAGGAGCACCGGGCTGAGCACAGCCTGGCACCATGACAGGCAGCTTCTCTTCAGCCAAGGAGATGTCCAAGGCTGAGGGAGCAAAACTTCAGGCTTTTTTCCAGGATTTCTTCCTGAGTGGCTGTCAGCATCTTTAGGACCTCCCTTCATGTACAGAGCAGCTCCTTTCCCAGAGCTGAGGGACCTTGGGAAGAACTGGGAGAGTGTCCCCTTATCCCAAGACCGTTTCTGAATCACTCTGGTTTAGAGCATCACCCATTATTGTCTTTCTGGGGTTGCTCCTGCAGTTTCCTGGTTCTTCCAGCCCAGGATGTCTCATCAGAAAGGGGACAGAACCAGCACCCCATTGCCATGGGTGGCCCCAGGCTCACCCTGCCCTCACAGGACGTTCTCAGTCGGGTTACGGTTGGATCTCGGCCGCGCGTCACAGAAAATGACACTGCCTGAGCTACCACCCTCATGGAGCAGATGTGACACATCTGCGTGACTCACTGATGACAGGGCTGCTGCTGAGCCAGGATTGCACCCAAAGAGAGTTAAAAAATAAAATGAAAAAAAAAAGTGCCTTTCCTCTTCCCACCTCCTTCTAAGATTCACCTTTGTGGAAGGG